CAACAAATTCTCTATTTTGAGGTTTGTCCAAACGCTCCAAGGGGAAATGCAGAAGTGTTGAAATGGGAAGGCAGGGGGTGCGGAGAACAAAACACAACCGAAACGAAAATGGCAATAATAACAACTTCCTTTGCGCACGTGAACAAAAGCTGGCCAGGTGGACGGGTGGTCAGAAGACCAGAAAATGCAAACATCGAACTTAGCAATGCACACTGGGCATCAAATTACAATAATGAAAAAGCGAAGACAAATCTGAGGATTTAGTGAGAACATTGTTTCAAAAAGAGTTTTCAAAGAACCAAAAAGTAATCAGATTAATACAAGAATTAAATTATTTAAATAAAATAAGTAAAAAGATCCAAAACGATAGTGACTGTACATATAACTTGAGGTAGCTTTAAAAATAAATAAATAAATGACGAAAGTGCGGGATAGACATTGGTTGGGGCCTTTAATAGCTGTTGAGTCCACTTCCATCACGGCTTAGACAAAAGGAATTTCAAACAATATTTTAAGCAATTTTAAAATGTGATGCAAAAAGCTGCCTGAGTTTCCTGCGTATTGGAAAATGCAGCTTGGAAGTGCAAGCTGAAAACAAATTCAATATGCTACAAGTAGGCGTGTGCTGAAGTAGCTAAGACAGCTCAGTGTGCTTAGTTCCTTCGGCCGACATAACCTACCCCAAAGACCTTTTAACTATGCACAGGGACCTTTGTGGTAGCTAGTGTTGACAAGGATAACGGCCAAGCCATGCCAAACCAAAACAAAGACAAGACCGCACAGTTGGCAAAACAATGACACACACACATATGCAAACTCTTATATATGTATGTATGTGTATATTGTATGTACATAGATACATAGTTGTACATATGTGACTGTATGTGTCAGAGCCAGGAATGTAGCACCGAATTAACATAAATTCCGCTTTGCAGCGAAGATCAACACACACAGACAGAGCGCAGGAACGCAGGACAATACACATACACACATTCACACACGCTTATACTGAGGGCGGCAAAACAAAAGGTGGAAAAAGCTACTTATATTCAACTTACAAAGTATGTTGCAAAAAGTTCAACGACAGCAAAGACAAAAATATACACGCTAGTGTGTTTATACAAGAATGTGAATGTGAATGTGAATGTGAATGGGCATGAAATGGGTTCGAGCTGGGTCCGTGGCTGTGGCTGTGACTGTGCCTGTTCCCGTGCCTGTGGCTGCGGCTGTGGGTGGTGTTGGTGTTGGCGATGACGATGGCATTGGCGTTCGCGTTTGCTGCTCCGCTCCTTTGGCGGTGCTCCATTGAGCCTGTGTCTGTGTCTATATCTATGGCCTGTGCCAGTGTCGTTTGCCCAACTATTCCCACAAGAAAAATCAATGGAATTGTTTGGTATATTGCGCTATGTGCGACTGAATGTTTTTCTCTTGTTTTTTTTTTTTTCTTCTTTTCTTTTTCTCATTCCTTTTTGTCGAGTTCACTTCGTTTTTGGTCAAATTAGGCGTCACTGTTGAGCAGTCTGTTGACTGAATGAGCGACTGCTCCTGTTATTGCCGTCACTGCTGCCTCTTCTTCCTCTTCTTCTTCTTCTCCTTCTGCTGCAGCGAACGCTGAATGCTGTGCCTGATGCTGCTGGGCCTGCAGCCACTGCCGACGTCGCTGTTGTCGTCGCTGCCTTCGTCTGTGGCATTTTTATTAATGCTGTTGACTCGAGTGACACACTTATTGATGGCAGTGTGCGAAATGTGGGTGGATGCCTGCATGCCAGCCTGGCTCTCTAGCTGGCTAATGTAATGTAGTTAGACCTTGATTTTGGTATATTGCACGATATATTTACATATGTACGTTACGGTCAAGTCCAGCAAGACTTATCACTTAATATTAATACAGCAACAGCAAACCAGAACTACTTGTATGTATTTCTTTATCGGACTTGGGAGAATCTAAATGCCAAGTTTGTTTATATTAGCTCTTACACCTTCCGAGATTCTTGCGTTTATACAGAATGACATCTAGAAAAGCCGCAAAACATCCATATTTCGTTATTCATTGGCTTAAAGATTGTTAGAAATCACTGAAGGAAAGTTCGTAGAGTCCGTTAATTACATCCATCAAGTGATCTATTTGTCTCTTGGTTTTGATTAATTCAACTGCTGTGAACATTTTTGCGTCATGGGGGAGTCAGTGACTCAATGCTTCAGCGAGCAGCATTTTTATCATCGGCTTTGTTATTTAAAGAGAAAAAGCTCAAATGATTCATCTCCATATACTATAGTATTGCTAGTATTTAATTGAATATGCCTTTTCGTAATCTTTTTATGGTTATACATAATTTAAGCAGGACTGGGCCCATAGAACCATACAAAATAGTTATGCGGTTAAGAAAAATACCAATTTATTCAACAATTCAGCTTCTGATCATTTTTTAAAGCGACCATATGTTTAATTTCTTTTGTAGAATGTAAAATGTTTAAATCCCAGAGCTATTTAAAACAGCCCCTTTTATATAATAAATAATAACAAACTCACCCAGCATTATAACTACATGAGGCTCTCTTAAAAGCAATAACAACTTGCCTTAAAAAGTGTAGTGTTAATAAGTATAACCCAAATAATTTTTATTAAAGAGAATATTTCGTAAACTGTACATTTGAAAAATGGTCTGAAACCACTAATTCGCTTGGGTACATGTTCTATTTTAAACTAGTCTTTTGGTATTTTTTCCGCCATATGCTGTATGGCGATGGCGTCTGGCCTCTCAAGGAAGTGACAAAAAGACCCTATAAGTACAAGTCCAATGCGATTTACTTTAATATGCATCTAGGTTTTAATATTAACTAACATCTGACCCAATTATGTTTGTGATTTTGGGGAAGAATATGTAACCAATAGGTGAGAGAAAACTGAGACAAAAAAAGCTATACCATATCATTCAAATGATATTTCATGTTTGAAAACTTTTTTGTTTACATAAATATGTTGTAATATTTCGTTTACTCTCGTACAAACTTACATTTAACACAATAAGTATAGATTTTCCTGCTCTTAAGTACAACAATGAAACAGAAACTCCGAACAAATTAATTTTATTTAGCTATTTCTAGCTTGTTTCAATTGCTGATCTAACCTTTTTAGCTTGTACATACGTACGTACTATAAGCATGCTACTTACCTCTCTTTGCTGCTGCCGTTGCCAACACCTTTGCCGCTGCTTTTGCTTCTGCTGCTGCTGGTGGGGATGCTGTGTCAAATGTTGTTGTTGTTTGCAGCTTATCACAGCAAACAGCCCACAGGCAAGAGCCGATTGATGCGATGTCGATGCCAAATAAACTGATCTGCCTCTTCTAGGCCCACTACATGACCAAAAGGCACTACGCCAATGGCAGCAGCGGCAACGGCAGCACTAAGTAAACAGTTAAGGAAAATTCGCAAACGGCAGCATGGGAATTTCTTCGCATTTATCAATGCCGACACTGTCGCTGCCGCTGCAGCTGCGTCGCAGTCAACGTAAGCACGTGAGAGCACCGACTGCGCAGACAAAAACTTGACAAACACTTCTTTTTGTGCTCTGCTACTGCGCTGCTTGCGCTGCTACTCTCCAAAAAGGCGACGTGCCACCAAATACGCGAGCGACAGGCAAGCGCAAAACGGTAAATTTTGTTGTATAAATTTTTTTCCTTTTTCTTATTATTATATTTTAAATAACATGTGTGCGTATTGTTGCTATTGTTATTGTTGTAATTGCCATGCTCTTTGTTGTTGTTGCTTTGTTTTCACTTTGCGCACTGAACTGTTTCTCATTGTCATTACGACTTTGGAGCAACTTCAATTCGAACTGCAAACAGCTGTCGCTGTCACTCCCACTCTCCGTTGTTGTTGTTGTTGCTGTTGCTGTTGTTGCAGCTGCTGCTGTTGCCGCATAGCACTGCACTTGTTGTTGCTGCGCTGCTCTGCGTTACGCCTGGGCGCTGTTTAGCATAATATGTTTAGCATATTTAATTGCTAGCAACAAAACTCTAGTATTTCTGTTAATTTCAAAGGCACCATCACCACACAAGAAAAAATCAACAAAAAGAGAATTGATTAACTTTTACAACAATTTAAAATGCACAACAATAAACAATAAACAATAAAACACCGATGAAAACAGACAACGCGAAGCGACACAACTTGACGCTATGACGGCTGGTAGAAAAACTGCTCTTTCCCAATACGTTTGTTTTGCTGCTGGCAGAGCCAGTCGCTTGTGTGTAAAAAGCTGTCAACGTCTGCGTCGCCGTCGCTGCTTGTGCATTGCACTGTTGTTATTGTAAGTTGTTCTATGCTTTCGCTGTTGTTACTGTTGTTGTTATTCGTTCAATTTAATATTTTTTGCAAAACAAAAAGCGAGAGAGCGCAAAAGCACTGTGGGAATGCGCTCACGCTCTCTTGTATGGTCGCGGCAGCAGCGGTGTCGTTAACAGCGGCGGCACGTGTCGAATGCTATGTTAAGTTAACAGAGAAACTTATAGTCAGCAGCAACAGACACTCAACAGTTGTTTGGGCGCTGACACTTAATAAATGAATCCAATAACGATAAACGCAAATCTTGTTGCCAATTAATTTTAATGACATGATAAAGCTGTCCTTAATTTACTTTCTAACAATTCAATGCAAAAATTAACTGCGTAGTTGTATTTTTTGTTATAAACTTTCCATTTCTAATTACAGAATCTGTAATGTTAGGCTTCGAATCCACAGGACTTGTGTTTATTTCAATTTAAATACTACTATCAGCTGTGTGGGATCTATTTTATTGCTATTAAGGTACGTGTTAGTAGTAAACGAATTTTAGTTCCATATTATGCAGCATATAGCATAGCAGTGATACAAATATTTTCCAAAATTGATAGATTTTATATATTAAACTGTATAAATTACTTATATATACCAACTGACAAATTCTATATAACTAAACTAACTTAGACCTTTCTCTTTCTTTGCATAATCTGAATATCAAGTTTGGCGACTCTAGCTCTTATACTTTTCGAGATATTCGCGTTCATACAAACAAACAGGTTGACAGACGGATGGAAATTCCTACTTCATATTTAATTTGGAGTGTTTTATTCAACAAGAATGGTTAGTAATCTGTTATACCCAATGCAGTATTTCCTTTACTACACTATTCTGCGTCGACATAAATAAAAACCTAGCAACGCAAACACTGGCAACCCATGATATTGATTCAACAATTCGTTATTTAACTCAAAGCAAGCAGACAAAGATATAGCTGTTCCTCTAGAATGGATTTAGACTGTAAGTTATAGGAATTTACTATACAATTAAATCATTGCATTTTTGTTCTGAACAGCCGTTAATAATGATTTAGAAAAGCGCATCTCTGATGCCTTTTGCGTTTTCGACCATCATGGCGATAAGTTTATAGACGTACGTGAGGTGGGCACCGTTTTACGTTTACTTGGATGCGTCCCGACTGAACAGGAAGTTAATGAGGTTATATCGGCAACGGAGCAACTCGGTGAGACCAGCGGAGAGGTTCATTTAACAAAGTTTTTGCCCCATGTCTCCCAACTGCTTATGGAAAGAAAGTGCGATTTAGTATTTATTCTATAGCATTAGAAGCTCTGCCATACTCCCTCTGATTTGATTCTTTCAGAATGGAACCAGCAACGCCGGAGAAAATTATAAAAGCGTTTAAGATCCTGGATCCGGAAAATAAAGGCTATTTAACCAAGGAGCACTTCGGCAAGCTCATGATGGAAGAGGGAGAACCATTTACACAAGAGGAAATGGATGAGATGTGGCCAGTGGCCATTGACCCAATCACTGGGCATATTCCATATGAGTTCTACCTGAATCAGTTAATGGTAACTAAATTGCATCAAATGTTAACAAACTGACTTTAAGCATCTGGAATCCTTTTAGGTTTACCTCTAAAAGGTGGCGCAATATTTTGATGTACACGTTGGATTACTGCTTGCAGAGTCCTATTCACAACTAAGCCACAGATTTATTTAAACTGTTTCGACTTCTCAGCTCAAAGATTCAGAACTTTGACGCTTTAATTAAACGATAAACGATAAGCTTGGCATCTAGCACAGTTTAGAGTATTATTTTGTTTATGTGTTTTATACTTTAAATGATTTTGAAATTAGCCTATGAAGGACTATACCTATAAATTTGATTTACAGAAGTGTTTTTAAATATTAATATATTTTATTACTTCAATGTCGATATGTGCGAGATAAAAATAAACACCGCTTTTGAATAAACCTATCACCAAAATCAACAAAACAATGAGCTTACTGTAGATGAGTTTTTTAAAGGCACGGCAAAGGTAATCATGAACAGGACGACTCCAGGATAATGGCTAGAGCTATCCCTCAAACCTTTTTGACAATGAAAAAGTCAAGAACAAGAATACTCTTTTGGTTTCAAATACTAATGAAATAATAAAAAACAACCCAAATTATTCGCCAGATTATTTCGTTTTTTCATAGAGTTTGAGTCTGTCCTTTGTATGGATTTTGAGGAAATCAAAGATTGTCTGTTCGAGCAAAAAGGGGACTATAGTATGTGTAGGAATAAAGATAATAATTTGTCAATTTCTTGTGATTTGGTTGCTCAGTTCGGTACTTCTGGGCCTGAAAAGAAGCCTGAACTGGATTGTTTTTCAAGAAGTTACAGCATATACTTCTGAAAATGCTATTCTCCCCCAATAATTTGCAAACTCCAGCGACGAAGCATGCCTGGAACAAGCCGGCATTATAGATTTGTTTTTAGTACAGAAAGCATGTTTGGAAATTGTTGAGTAAATGCAGAAATAGTTTAAGAGTTTCAGAGCTTCAGAGTATAAAATTAATCGTGTACAAAAATCACTCATGCAAAATTAACGGTATTTGTGGTAAAAAAAACACAAAAAAAATAAAATAAATTTTAAAAACATTAACCCCAATGACTGCTCAAGAAATCGGCGGTAAGTTGCAGATCATATGAAATGATTGCTTGAAATGAAATATCCCAACAAAAAAACAATTGCAGTTCAGCTTAAGAATGATCTTGAAATACGAATCGCGAAAGTATTTAGCGTATTCGATGTTCACAGCGACAATTTCATCGATACTCGAAATATTGGCAACGTGCTGAGAATTCTGGGCTGTGCGCCAACGGAAAAGGAGGTACATGAGATCATGTTGGCCACCGAATCCGCCGAAGAGCCCGGAGAAACCCATCTGTCCAAGTTCATCGCACACATCACGAAGCTCCTTATGGATGAAGCGTGAGTAGAATTATATTATAGGTATATATATAAAATTAATGCTAAATGCTGACGCAGAATGAAGCCCGCATCCTCAGATGAAATACTCGATGCCTTCAAAGTCTTGGATCCCGAGAACAAGCTCTATCTAACCAAGGAGTACTTTGGCAAGTTGATGTCCGAAGATGGGGAGCCCTTTAACGAGGAAGAGATGGCGGATATGTGGGCTGTGGCCATTGATCCCATCACCGACAATATCCCCTATGAGTTCTACATAAACCAATTGAAGGTTAGCCCTCTGCCATATCCATAAGTTTTGCCAGACTAACCATTCTGCTCCATACTCAGCACAAGACCGACTTGTACGATATGGCTTATCAAGTGAAAGACCAGATTGCACGCGCCGAAAAGGATCGCAGAAGGCCCGATCGTATGCGTAGCAGGACACACTTTGCTAATTAACACAATATTGGGGGTATTTGTAAAAAAAACCACTAAAACTATGTAAATTCTTTTTCTGGAATAACAACAATTTGTACGTGAAAACCTAAAGTCCATTTAACTTTTTATTTCGGAATGCAACTCACATTGCCAGCAGGTATGTAGGCGTCGTTTTAGCTGAAATTGAGAAAAACATAACAACAACAGTAGCTTCAGAAACCAAAAACGCTTTAACTGCAAAACATTGTAGGAGAAAATATTATAAAACACTAGAAAGAGAGCTTTTTCAACAGGGTTTCTTCTTATTTGCTATAAGAGTGAAATTAGGAGTGTGCTTAGCCACTTTTAATGATTTTATATTAAAAGAAAACCAAACTAACACTGCAAAGAGATTAAAACAAAGAACGCAATAAAAGAATTCGCGAAATTAATTTAAAAGTCGTGGTAGTGGAAAAAACTGAAAGTTTCGAAAGATATTCTAAACAGTTTAAGGTTTCAAGTCAAACCTATTGATCGCGTCGAAACATTCTTATATAGTACCTGTGAAGTGGCAATAAATAGAAGATCTGGTAGCCCTTGGTTCTTGTGGGATCGCGAATCAGAAAAGAAAGGTTCCCATAATTTATGTTATTTTTTTGCAACACTTTGATTTTGGATGTGTAGGAGAGTTATACGCTAATAGAATATAACGCATTCCGACATTAGTGAACATCACAAATGCCTTTTTTAAGAATTTACAATTATATCAAATCAAATTTGTTAATCAATTGAGAGGAGGTTAAAAAGGAACAGCATACTTTAGGGGTCCACATTATGGCTTTGCTGGCTATGCCATTTCAACATCTTAATAATAAATTAAATTAAATCATTGCAACTGCTTCAAAAGACTCCGATTGACACACGGGTCTCTGGTGTGTCATTACGACTATTGGCCACTAGTTTTTCCAGCATTTCCCTGTAATACTCGTATAGAAAAGTGTATGCTCAAAGGGAAAGCAAGAAGTTCCCGAAACAAATGACATGAAAATAAACAAAGTGTTAGGAGCGTGGCCTCTCAGGCTAGCATTCAGAATCGAATCCAAGTGTTAAAAGTGCCTTCAGCGTGGCAACTATATCTGCCTGAACTCTCAGGCTAGCATTCAGAATCGAATCCAAGTGTTAAAACTGCCTTAAGCCACTCCTTAGTGCGGCAACAACACACGACTCATGTATGTTGCATGTTGCAAAGTCGACAAAGTGATTGTCAGACAAACAGAGCACGGTTGGGCAAGCTCGGGTGTATTGCATGAGCCTATTTGTTGGTATGTTTGTAACACAATAAAAGCAACAGCTGCAGCAGTGTGAGGCAAGGTGTCCAATGGCCAGACCACATCAGGTGACCACCACCCAACGACATGAAACCAGGAAACCAGTTGCCAACTGCTGCATAGCACCAACAATTAACGGCATTCCGATGTGTCTGGCCGTTTTGCAGACTGACGGGAAATTTCAAAAATTTCAATTCACAAAAATTCACAGGAATGCACTCGCCTGCTGGCAATCCTACATACTCGTATATACCCCACACATACATACATATGTACACACATGACTGTTTTTCTTACACTTAGGAGTGCCTGCTACCTGGACATGTAACTGGCTGCCGGTATACTCGTACCTACTAGTCCTGAGTCTGACAGCAGCCTTAAGCACCTGAACAGCGGGTGTCACAGTTTTTGGCTCTGCTCCAGCGGACTTAAGCTGTCACAAGCCTTGGCAACACTTGCAACGCTTTCGACGCCTTCAACTACAAGCTTTTAATTACGAAAATTGTCCGATGGCCGAATAATGTTTGATTGCTTCATTCGTTGAGAGCCGTACAATCGAATACTCGTAGCGTCAAATCTTGATTTAACGTCTCATCATGGTCCATGTAGTGACGAAAGCAGCAGCCCACCTGCCTGTTTTATAAATGAATTTCAGCCCTTTATTGAGAGGCAACACTTATGTCAATCAAAGGGAAATCCCTTTATAATAATGCCCTTATAAATAATCAAAGGAATGCCTAAAAGATTATTAATATGGAAAATCCCTCAATACAAGCACTTATATACTTGTATTTTCCCATTTGTAAGAGAAAATATTACAAAAACACTAGAAAGAGAGCTCATTCAATAGGGTTTCTTCTTATTTGCTATAAGAGTGGCATCAGGAGTGTGCTTAGGCAATAAAATCATTCAAATAAAACCAAACTAACACCGCAGAGATATTTAAAACAAAGAACAAAAGAAAAGGGTTCGTGAAATTATTTTGATTTAACGTCTCATCATGGTCCATCAAAGGGAAATCCCTTTATAATAATGCCCTTATAAATAAACCAGGGACTGTTATCATTAGAAGTGTTATTAAAAAATACAAAATAGTGCTTATTTTTTAATTTTATTCATTCGCTCACAATTTAATGATTAATTTTGAGTTTTACTTTATGAATTAACCAACTTATAAAATAATGATTATGCTTTGAGTTTTATTTTGTTGATCAAAAATTAATTAATTAATTAATTAATTAAATATTAATTAATTAATTAAATATTAATTACTGAAAAATGTTTGCCTTGACTCACTGATTAAAGATATATATAAAATTTGTCCTTAATCCTTATGAAAAAGACAAATTTACAGCTTGAGTTTTTTTTTTATCAAAAAATTAAAACTCAAAGCATAATCATTATAGAATAAACAATAAAGTTATCTTTTCGTGATCTTACCACCGATCGTTTTTATGGCAGCTATATAAATAATATATGATTTTGAATAAACTTTCTCTGCACATACATGAGAGAATTCTGTGTGAAGAGATTGATATCTCCAGATGTTACTTGTATGCCCCAATAGCACTCGCTGTTCATACGGACAGACGGACAAATTTGTCTTTATCGATTCGTCTCGTTCTACATATATGTTCCTACAACTTGGGATCTTCTATGGCTTTTTCTGCCAATAGCATACCCTTTCATTTTTTGCGTACAAATAATGGTCAACACGTTGATGTGATTTGAATAATAAATCGACTGTCAAAACAATATTATATTTAGATTCTATAGCCACGAAAGGTTGCAAATCTATGGATTCTTGGAACTATATTGTTTTCTGCAGAAAAAAACAGACTGGCAGTGCAGGAAAGTCAAAAATTAATAAGCTATTGAAGCTTTAAAGTGTCTTTGATTGCCTTCTTGGCGACACACGGCTTTGCGCTCTTTGGGAAGTATTATATTTAAGTACATCGTGTATATTATGATAAATAATAGATGCCTATAATAATAATTTCTCCGCTTTTTGTTCTCTTAAAAAACTTGAAAAGCAATATTGTTTACTAGATTTAAAGCTGTACAAGAAATTGAAATAAATGGAGGAAGTTTCTGTCAACACAATTGATACCCGAATGTGGCCTTCACCGCAAGACTCTTAGCCTCGTCAATAGCTTTATATATATCCATATATCCATATATATATATGGATAGGCGTAACTCCACTTTTATCCATCAGCACATTTGAAGAGCGACGTTGCTTTCAACTGGCCGCAACTACGAGTACAAGTATGTTGGCAGACAGGTAGTTACGATTACATGGAGAGCTGCTCTTCATGACCGTGCCAAAATCATGTCCAGCTGCCTGCATTGCAATTACAATAATGCAAAGGACATCTAGTCAAGTGTCGACTGCCAGCAGGAGGCGAAAGGAGCATGGAGGCTCTGTTGCTGCCAACATCACATGCCATGAGACAATAAATGAAGCGAACCAAGCTGACGTTGACACTGACCGTTCGGTCAAATACCTATGTACATACTTACATACGAGCATGTATGTATGTATTTATGTAGACACTCGTACGTACCATCCTCTATATAGCCGCCTAGCTGAATGCCATGGCTTTATGTGACTTGGCAGCCACGACCATGAATACAATGCAGCGGCGGTGGCGGCGGTGGCGGCGGTGGCGGCGGCGGCGGCGGCGGCGGCGGCGGCGGCGGCGGCGGCGTCCAGTCAGGGCCATCCAGTCAGCAATGAAGTGGCACAAGTCGTTGCGTCCCAGTGATTACACATGATCATAAACAAGAGGAAGCTGAGCAAAACAAGCAGTAGAAAAAAACAACACACACTCAACGCACACACAAACAAACCCAAAGCTAGGTTGTAAATGTGAATGGTTGAGGTGGGGACTTACCAGTAGAGATGGACTCGTGGCACAGAAAGTCTATAGCTGTGCTGTGTTTAACAAATCAAATAAACGGTCACACAGGCAAATAATTTGTACATTTTTGTTACCTCAGAAAACTTCATTTTAGTTCTTTCACTTTAAGAAACATAGTTAAGTAATTCGACAAGCTAACTATTTCATAGTCTGACCATGGTTTAGTAGTGCGGTCACACAGGCAAATAATTTGCCCACAAATTTCTCAAATTTTGTTAGTGCCCCACTAAAGTCTTCAACAGTTTTATTTATATTTCGTATAGTTATTGCTTTGCGGCTGAAATATTAAAAATATCATGAACGGCCTCTTTTTCAAACTAACCTATTTGTCCGAAACTCATTTGCCTTTCTGACCACTAAGTCTGACTTGTAGAATATGTTTTACAAATACTCCTTAAAACTGGCATAGCTAAACAAAATATTTTTATAGCAAGAGACGCAGCTCTAGTCTTCTGGAAACTTATATGTGTAAGGCCTTTGTATATAAATATTATTTTATTATTTCCATTTGCACTCCAAACATTCCCTATCGAAATATCTCAACTGTGTATATTTTATGCTCATCACATGCCGATTTTTCAAATCTGAAGAGCAGAATCTAGCCATTTGTCTAGTTATAAGAGAATTAAACACCATAAAGTACTTAGATAGATTCAACCGCGAATCATGTTCAGGTTCAAAAATAATCTATCAAAATCGACTTCTCTCATCAATATCTAATGTCTCATTTAATATATATTATTCTTGATTAGACTACGATTTTGCAAACTGGAAATGGCCTTTTTATCGAGCACTGTTCTCGAATGTTGCCAGGCAGTTGGTCGTAAAAATTTACAATAGACTCTCTTTCTGATGGGTCTGTTTAGTTTGAATTTAATTT